ACCTACAGACATAATCAGGGTTAATCGTGGTTGAATTTACAATAACCATTGGTTTCAATGGTTGCCCTTATGAACACTAAATGAGCTCCTGATATTATCAACCCATGAAGACCTGGGTTAGAATTAGTCTTCAGCAACCGATGCAAGTCGTAGGAGGCGACGGACGGAATCCTGTCGTCAGGCTCGCCGACACTGTTGATACATGTCTTCACATTACATTACTGTAGACCGATCTTCATGATGTCATGCGCATCAAAAGATTCCAAGCATAAAGAGATAACGGCAATAAGATACGACGATATATCGGGGTCTATAGGCTATCAAAAGGAGATAATTAGTCAAAAGAATTCAACCTGTCTCCGTGTTTAGCTGCATCATAATGTTCATATATAATTTCATACAGCTGGTATTCTGTACACTGGGACATTCACATGCCACTCTGTGCTCTCATTCACAAGATAGCTTCAGATGATCTAGATCTAGACTTTGGAAGGAACATAGACATTCGAACACAGCAGGCAGAGATGCTAGTAAATATTGTTGGTCGGAAATGTAGTTTTGTGTTTAATTAATGACAGCTACTGTGAGATACACTGTAGGACACAGGAGGTGAGCGAAGTCTCACAAAACTGACTCAGGGACAATGTGGCAGACTGTGAAATCCACTCAGCGGTCTGTTTGAGGAAGACATCCTCGTAAAAGCGGCAATGGGGAGAAATCACCTACATTGATTATGATAGCAACCAACAGTTGCAAGTGGCATTTCTTGTGACTGATTTGAAATATGTATCTCTTCCCACAGTCGTAGAGCATTATGTTGATCATAACAGTGATAATGCCGTCGACATTATCCACTCTTTGAGGGATTCAGATTTTAAAACAGTCGTTAACATTTTACAGCCGGATAAATCAGACTGTGAAGTCATGATAGGTAGATTGACCCTGGTGAATGTTCTGAATGTTGGATCCCAAAAGAAGACGGAAATCATTGAATCTCTTCAGGCAATGAAACATAAAACATCGAAGAGTGTACATAATTTCATTCTCCTATATATTATATAGCGCTTGTTGGATATTTTGTTTGTTTATTTAACGCCGCACTTTGAGCTGTAGGAACCTGAATCGCCGTATCTGACCACACGATCTTGTTAGTCGCCTCTTACGACAAGTAACAAATACATGTAATCTAAAAATTGATGTCTTCGAATCACGGAACATTTGTTCCATATGCATGTTCTTAGGTTTACTGTGCAGGACAGATTTACTCTAGGAATAATTGTTTTGGATAATTGAACTTATTCCGTGTTTCCTGGTGTCCTTTGCGTTGTTTGTTGTTGATTCTAATGGCGAGTCTTGACCTGAACTCATTCGTTCGAGTTTCGAACTCAGATCCTCGGAAAGAATATAGTTTGTAAGTCAATCTTAGAACCGTTTAACTGCAACAAAGCAGTATAAAATACTTGTATATGGGAAGAATTGTTTTCTTGTTTTCAGCCAATGTTCCACGCACATTTAACAAGCAAATATCTTAAAAAGATACTGACTCGGTTTTAAGCCAATAACAATTTATTTAGCAACAGCAAAAGCAATGATCATTAAGAAAACCTCTCAAAACAAACAAAACAAAAACATTTCATGTTTGTGTTCGTACTAAATAGTAATTCATGCCTGTAAACCGGATTCAAATTGTGCAGCAGGCAACTATTTTGCTTTGATCCTCATAACTCGGTTGAGAGAGTTGAACGTGTCATGTCTCAAAATGAGTTTGACAACACTAACGATGGTGGTATTACTTCTAAAATTACATATCTGTGTGCACGTGTCTGTCAAAGATCAATTCCAGAAAAAAAGTTTATTCCGTCTCCACATCAAGAACAACCAATATTGGAGAACACCTTTCACACCTGTAATATGTTCCCTTCTTCCGGTATGTATCATACGGGTATGATCTGAACACTGGAACTTATAAAACGTTTCTAGACAATAATGGAAAAGACAGCATTTAGTGGAAACTTTAATCGTGAAATGTGTGCATGTTTAATGCGGGAATCGCAACATCCAGCCACATATTTTACGAAAAACTCATTTTCTACCACACCAGTCATTCTAGAAAACTTCCATTCCCAGAAAACTACATTGACAATACTTGAAAAAACAACCTTTTTCTTTCTGCATCAGATATTGGACGTTTTGTATCTTTCCTATTTCATCGATTCTTCAAATACATCCGACATTAATACATTAAAAAAGAATGTTTAATGGATCACAGAACTGGTTTTGCCATGAGAAATGATCATTGTTTTTCTCTATCATATACATTTTTGTCAACAACGATTTGTTTAATTACTTAGGTCAACTCTGTGCTCATACAAAAGGACAAACAGAACATCAAGACCTCTCCTCTGGTCCCCTCTGCTTATGTCCGTTTTATCGTTCCATCGATTCGCAAACCTTGCAATAACTGATAGCGATTCATAAACAAATATGATAAAATCATAATTGTACAACGAACCCTGAGTTTAACTAACATGTACTGTGATCAAAGGAATACCCTTGTGGGTGTTTTTGTCACTGTGAATATGTAGGTATACTTTCAGAAACAATGTCAGCAAACATCGCTAATTCCACGTTTCTGGTAGCTTAATCCGGTCATTATTTCAAGAGATGTGTTTTGAATTCTATACCCGTCATATGTATACAATGAAAATGTGTACCATATGCTGAAATCATATTATAAGGTGATTTTGGGTGCGATAGATCCTTGTAATGAAATAACGTGGCAAAACAAATGGTGCCTCACACCGCATGAATATCAGCATTGCGGCTGTTAGTCGTTCTTTACCCAACCCTTAAAACCCATTAGGGCCACAGTTTCAGATTGGGGCAAATTTAGAAGCTTGACAACTGCTAGATTAATATTGCTGCCACTGACGTCATTGCTATTGCTAACATTGTGGTATATGTCTCAATTGTAATTGTTCTGTCATTGCATTTTGTGTACCGCCCTTGCATTTACTTTGCAGAATTAATCAGTGTTTAATTGTATAACATTACTTCGATGTTTGTTGGTTTTTACACTCTTTTTCATATTGATTGAGATCCGGGTTAGAATTGGTCTTCAGTAACCCATGCTTGTCGTAAGAGGCGACTAACGGGATCGGGTGGTCAGGCTCGCTGACTTGGTTGACACACATGTCATCGTATCCCAATTGCGTAGACCAATGCTCATGCTGTTGATCACTGGATTGTCTGGTCCAGATTCGATTAATTACAGACCGCCGCCATAAAGCTGGAATATTGCTGAGTGCGGCGTAAACCTAAATTCTCTCACTCATTGATTTCTGGGGTAACAGATTGTATCAATCTGGAAGTCAACACATCACAACACTTTCATAATCTATGAACCACGTAGGCGAACCTGACCACCCGAGCTGGGATCGAAAGTTAATAAATCACATTTCTTGTTTTATGTAATATTGTGTGAAGCCAACAATCTGTATGGTGTTGAAAGTAGGTTTGTTAGCCCACCTTTCACGGAAACAGGTAGATTGCTTCAATTTGGAAATCAACAAGCAAAAACATTATGATAAACTATGAACCAAGTCTGGTTACTACAAGCTCGGCCTGCTTAGAGCTAATTCAATCCGGAATCTTCACGGAGGTAAAAAATAATAAAAATATAGGGTGCCATATTTTTGTACAGCAATAATCGTTATTATCCATCACATGTTTTTCCCTAAAGTTTTGCCATGCAGACATTTGGTTTTCTATGGGAATTTCTTTCAGCGTCTAAGTGCAACATCAATTACTTTAAAAAGTAATATCTTGTATCAATATGTTTTTGTTCAACAGTCTGAAGCATAACTATTGTTTTTCAAGCATATACTTGGGCAATATATATATTTTTCAATATAATATTACATGATAGATCGGTCAGGATAACAAAGGAATATAAGAAAGAATATGTAATTTCAATGTCAAAACAGCGAAGGATCTTTTTAATGTTAGTTATCATTTAATTATTCAATTTTTCAAAGAAATATAATTATTAGATAACCTTTGATAAATAGTTTGTAAATAGATATATATTATTGGTAGGTTAATTGAGCAGCTGATATTGTGAGTGGCTGTATCATCACAGCGGGTTGAAGTATTGTAAAACTATTGTCCTCCTGTGAGGATACGCAAGTCCCAAACCATTAAAGGTATATTATAACAGACCATCTTTTTAATCGTAGAATATGTGTTATTTTAAGGTATGGCTAGATTTGTCCTAATTGCTAACAGCTGGGGGGATGGTGTGAATCCAGCTAGTGGTCCATGCAGGAAGCAACTGTACTGTAAGTCCCCATGGTCCTTAGTATGGTGATCTACCTTCAGTTGTTGGCGATCTATAGCCTGTATTGTCTTTCATAGTTAAGATGTTTTAGATTTTCATACTAGTTTTACATTTATAACTGTGATATTCTAGTTATTTTACTGTCCTTTGCAGACAGGTAAGTATATTATCTAAATTTGTTATTATTCGTTCATAAATTTACAACTTTCTTAGTGACGATATGGCTGAAATACTGCCGATGTGACTTTACATTTTAACTCACTGTACAACTTTGTCATCCTTAAAGTACAGTTCCCTTCGCAGAGAAATGCAAGTTCAACGTGGTGACAACCGTTGTAAGAAAACTATTAAATCGTGTAAGTGCCGGAAGTGTCGAGGGCTACAACAAGTGTTACGTAGACATCTACGGACACATTTTCACCTCGCTTTTTGCAATATTCTACTAATATAACGGCGGGGGATATACCAAATGGGCTTCAAACATTCTACCCATCTGAGGATTCGAACCCGGGTCTTCGGCGTAACGAGCGAACGCTTTAACCACTTGGCTACCCCTCCGCCCCAATATTGTATATGTGTGACTGTAATGTTCCATAACGTTATTTTTGTGCAGAAATAATGTTTACAATAGTGAGCCATTTTGTGCCAAACAATGTTGGTCTTTTTGACAACAGTCACATTGCTACCAAAACAAATACATCATCATGTGCTTTCATTGTGTAACTATCGTCCGAGGATAAACAGGAAGTTGTCCTTCAAGGATCTGGATTCTGACTTGTCTTCTACTCCATGTCTCGCTCTGTATCTTAGCCATAAAGTCGTCGGCGCCATGGCTGCTTTCACGCGCTGAAACAGATTGTACATCTGGAAATAACAGAAAATTATGCCAGAAGAACATATATTATGCCAACAAATCACACCCGAACACGTGTAAACAGTTTGTTCTCAGTCCGGTATATTTTAGAAAAGCCAGTAGTACAAATGTAAGACATGGTGATATGTCATACCAACCTGGGCCGGGGATCCTTCCATCTTGAGTATTTGTATCACCATGGTAACTGGGATAGGAACGACGGACACGAGGGCAATAAACCAGCCAAATACGACGGCAGATCCAGGGTAGTTGTACTCGCCGTATGTAGGTGGCTTGTAGGAAGCCAGAGTGAAAACCAATGCGACCTGAAAAGACACGCGTATTTTGCTATAGCAAGTTTGCCGTTTAGTGTTACGTCACTTTGATGTGCCAGGATTCGATTATCAAATTCTCTGTTTCAGGTGGAATTCCTTTCCTCGATGGTGTTCAACGCTCATGCTAAAGTGAGAAAAGTCTTATATCTAAATCACATTGTGTGGTGTTCTGAAAAATAAATCAGAATCCGTGCAATACTACTAAAATACTGGTCTAAGTTGTGCACTGCATAAAGTGTCACCGTTCAAACAAGCCTCCTTTCAGAGCATTTACTGAATTGCCATCAGTGGTTCAAAATGTGATTCTTCTGACTCCAAACGGAGCCACACAAAATCTAATGAGATTAATCAACCATTCACCTTTTGCGAAGTAAAAACTCAATGTTAAGACATATTTTCAAACAGGCCGTTTTGACACATAAGACACAGGGTGTAATCTTGACCAGCAATGGTCCAAGTCACATTTCTATGTATGAACGTGGTAAGTGTTAAAATGTGCATTCTTCATACCACAATAACACATGCAGTTTACTGAAAGTAGCATTGACCTTTGACACATCTATGATGATGTTGATATAATTATGTAGGTTTTGGCTTTGAAATATATTAATTTTATATATCACATGAATTAAATCCGCATTTTGAGGACACGTTTCCTTTCTATGATGTTTCTGAATATTTTCAGAAAAGTGAGGGAAATTAGTGAGTATGGTTTAATGCCGCTTTGAGCAATATTCCAGCAATATCACGGCGGGGGACACCAGAAATGGGCTTCACACATTGTACCCATGTGGGGTATTCGGCGGTTTTCGAACCCGGGTCTTCGGCGTGACGAACGAACGCTTTAACCACGAGGCTACCACACCGCCACTTTTCAAAAAGTGTCAGTAGGTTTTGACACATGCAGGTAACGACATATCCGTCCACGACGTGGCCCATTGTGTTACAGTCTAGGAAGGAAGGTGTGTGGTTAGATATACTCGTAACGAAATACCTACAGACGTTAAAAGAAACTGATTGCTGTCTTGCCTGGCGTTCGATGAGGTAACGACTATCTGGCTCTGAATACCTTCTCTAATTCAAGACTACAACCAGGAGCCGCACGCTCGCTCGTACACCCACACAAGCATACTCACGCAAATAATGTCGAACTAGACAACAGACACTCAATTCAGACACCAATGTCACCTCAGAATACTTACAAGTAAGAGAATGGGAAGGACGACGAAGCACACAAATTTGTAGATTATAGGGAGGCGTTTTCCAACCATACTCTCAACATCAGCAGAGAATCGCCCAGCGCCTTATAAATATGAAGAGCATTTGAGTCAGATTTACAAACTAATGTCGCAAGCATATACGGAAATAGTATAGGCAGCTACGTAGACACAGTTGGAGATTACCTTTGCAGAATATGCTGGTCTAAAGAAATACTGACATTTACTTTTCAGTGTGGAATCACATACACATGCATGATGGTTCAGTGTAAAGTATTTCCAACACACTTGTTCCTTCTGTACTTACCGTAGAACCAGCCAACAGCCACACACTCCAGTATGGCAATGACGAAACAGGCAACTGCACCCATGTACCAGTCCACCAACTGGAACACGTACACTCCGCCCTGGAAAGAGGCAATATGTATATATGTATTGTGTCGTGTGAGTGAGTGTGCGTTTCTATGTTTGTCTATGTGTGTGTGTGTGTGTGTGTGTGTGTGTGTGTGTGTGTGTGTGTGTGTGTCTGTCTGTCTGTCTGTGAGTTTGTGTGTTTCAATTGGCATTCATCTTCTTTTTTTCAGTCACAAACTATTTAGAAGTTACACAATCGTCTGGACCTGGAGAGATATATATGAGACAGGAATATGCCACCTATCGTTATTCGGGACATTAGATCTTGTGGTCACGTTAGACAATTGCGTGTCCAATTATCAACCCTCGGTTTGTCTGACCTCCACTTCATTGTAACAGGCCGCCGCAATACGGTTCGACTAATCCTGACAGAGGTTTACAACTATAAACCTAGAAACGAACAAATTTCAAGGCGACCAGAATTTTCTTACATCATTTTGTTCACTGGTGATCGCTTTAATGTTACCGCCGATATTTAAAATAAAATGCCATGACTTCTAAGTGTTGGTAATGAAGACAGATAATTATTTCGTGTCCGTTCTTGAAATATATTTCAGAACGCATAACCCCAAAGAAAGATAACATTAACGTTTAGATCATTTAAAAATCCTCTTTCTAAATAATTGTTTGAACATGAAAATGATGTTACCCACGATGCTTTTAGCTTGGAACATCCTGATGCTTTACACACATTTAGCGCACTGATGTGTCTTGTGTTAGACATATTGTTTCGATGCTTTCATGGTAGGTATCATGGCTCGGATTGTCAAGTTATATTGAGTGAGTGAGTGAGTTTAGTTTTACGCCACACTCAGCAATACTCCAGCTATATGGAAGCGGTCTGTAAATAATCGAGTCTGGGCCAGGCAATCCAGTGATCAACAGCATGAGCATCGATCTGCGCAATTGGGAACCGATGACATGTGTCAACCAAGTCAGCGAGCCTGACCACCCGATCCCGTTAGTCGCCTCTTACGACAAGCATAGTCGCCTTTTGTGGCAAGCATGGGTTGCTGAAGACCTATTCTACCCCGGATCTTCACGGGTCGTCAAGTTATATTGCCAAGTATCACTTACATGTGTGGTGAAAACAAGACCAGCAGTGAAGACAGCTGCCATGAACACAGCGGCCATGATGGGCTGATAGTGCCGGGTGTGAAACCTCTGAGGCAGAAGATCGTCCATGCAGCCCAGTGCTGTCTCCACATATCCAAACTGTTGGCAAAGACACACACATAAAAAGATAAAATTATGTTAATTGCTTCCGAACAGTATAAAAACAAATACATTTAACAGGTTATGTCTTCTCTTTCTTCTCGTGGGGCACTTTAGGAAGGAAATTGATAAAGGGGATGTTTGCAAATAAAACATTCTTTTGCGATGAAGTTTTTAAAACAATATTAAGACTGCGATGAAAAATTAAATACTTCGAGAGAATGTATTAGGTTTGACAAAATATGCTATTTCCTCTCATAGAATACTTATTGTCTTATTACCATGGAGTCGACGACCATCATCAGCATCGTTAAAAAGAAGAAGACAGACCACAGCTGAGGAAGCGGAAGTAGCGCAACAGCTTCTGGGTAGACGATGAAACCTATGCCTGGACCTGCAAAGCACAAGTTGGAAGATCTCAGTGAGTCATTATACAGTTGCAGATGACCTTTTCCACAAACATTATACACTCTTAACCGTTGCCTTGTACTTACTTCGCTGGATGCCCGTCCACTGTGGCCATGAACTTACACCTTGAAGAGCTACGACTGTTTCAAACGCCACTATCTACCCAGTCATCACAGAAAGTTATTGCCACGGTGAGCAAAGAGCAAACATTTTGATCTGATACACTTATACATTGTATTCTGAACACCGTTTAACGAACAAGATTTCAACGAACCCACGGTTAACACGAACTGTTTTTGTACTGACCTCGATCTGTGCAATAAACAAGAAGGTGTTATCCATAAATCCGTATGCTCCATTGTTCACTCAGTATCTTGTAGCATGCCGAACAAACAAATGACAAAACCAGCAAGTTGTTTGTAATTATGGACTCACCTGAAGTCACGACGTCAGCCACAGGTTGTTGTAACTCATGAGCCAGGAAGCCAACCGTCGCGAAAACCACGAAGCCAGCAAAGACACTGGTCAACTCGCCGATCACAGTTACGATGATGGAGTCCCTGTATATAGATGTCCATGTCAGCTGTTGTACAATTGTTTTGTGTCTCCACATATCAACTAATGCTATTGATTCAACAGCTAATGGTGTGTGAAGTTAACGAATGGTACAAGTTAGATTCTATTACAGAGCATTTTAGGAATGGTAAGAAAGAACTCTGGAGAGTACTCTTTAGTAATCTTAAGTATATCGAAAATTTTACTTGGAAAACCATACTTTCTGAACATTATCGCAATTCCAATACGCACCAATGGGTACATTTGGGTAATTTGGATATTTGTTAGTTCATGATCAGTGACACCCAGAGTCCAATCAGTTGAGTTGTGATTCAATTGATAGACTACAAGCATGCATATACCTTATAAGATTGGAATGAAAAGAATTGTGGCTTGCCATGACAATGAGGGTTCCCCATGCCGTGCCAACGGAGAAGAACACTTGAACAAGAGCTTCTAACCACACCTGCACAAAAAGAGACATATGCGTTGGACAGGATGTAAATACACCAGGTTCAATGTGTAGTGTCTAGGCACAGTCATTATCAGGGATCATGTGTAAAGAACATGACTACATAAGATAATACGTCTTTGAGTTAAATGAGATTTGAAAAATGTACTTGATTTAAAATACACATTAACCGTTAATGTACATCACACCGCTACACTTTGACACAAGTATGTTTGAAGTTTATAAATAGTTAATACTTTGAAACCTCATGGAGAGAAAAAAAAGTAAACCTTTAATTGATTTTCACGCAAATATCGGCCGAACAATGACGTGTCCATGTAGATTCTTTGTAAAGACCTGAGCAATACACAATTCAATCACGTGTCATCTTTAAAATATTCTTCATACTGTAATAGTCTTAATTCCACAGATTCATCTACACGCTTCTCTTTATTCCGTGCGAATACAGACCTGGGGATGCTCAAGGCGGCTGAAGTCTGGAGTCAGGTAGAAGAGAATTCCATCCACAGCACCTGGCATCGTGCACGACCTCACCAGTAGCACCAAGAGGAGGACGTATGGCATCAACGCTGTGACATACACCACCTGTGGACAGATACCATGTGATGACAATGACAATACGATTACGGCCTAATCCGTCGAATTTGAACAGTCAGCAGTGCCGATCCTTCGAATCATACTTGAGTGGTTCTGTGCTAATCGGTCGAATTTTGTGGTATGATCCAATGTTTTGATAATTAATTAATAGCTAAGATCACAGTGCTCATCCGTCGAATGCATTTCACTACTTTGAAATCGGAAATTCGACGGATCGGTACGCGACGGACAATACATATTATTTTTGGGATTGTTTACACAGCAATCACCACTCGCACTAAACGATGAAGTTGTACGATACCTAACAAATAACGACGTTGTGATACAAAGGCCTATAAATTAAGTTAAAACATAACATTGTACTCTCAGCAAAGACAATATATATTTACAAATAATGAAATTGGGGATTGATATTTTAAGCTTCATCACAGCGGCCATCACTGAATGTTTTGTATCTTGATTCTGAGACTTCCATTAGGTTGTTTCATAGCGACATGATGCAAAGGTAGAAAAAAACCCACGATAATCATAACTTTGACCCAGACAATAGACATTGATAGATGATTAAACCGGGTATTGCCATTTTACTCTGTAGTGACCACGGCCAATCTGCGATATCCTGATAACGGTTCTACTGGCTTGTACCATAACCATCAATTAAGGACGTCATGACACAAAGGTAATCCGCCAGGTTAACATTGCAGCCCCTTAATATTCAACTGGCATCTTTTGCAACAGTGGGATATAGCAATGTGCGAGCAGTAGACTGTATGGATTATGGAGATCACATATTCTAGCTTGAAAAGAGCAGACTTAATATATAGTCACAGCAAACAAATGTTACCTTTCCCAAAGATTTGATTCCTTTCATGATACAAAGGAATACGGCGACACATGTGATTAACCAGCAGATGACGAGATGAGGTTGCATGGCGCCGAGGTCGTCTATCCCTGACGAAACACCTAGAGCCTTGTACCTGGGAATGTATGGTGCTTCATGAAAAGAGTGAGTGAGTTTAGTTTTTACGCCGCACTCAGCAGTATTCCAGCTATATGGCGGCGGTCTGTAAATAATCGAGTCTGAACCAGACAGTCCAGGGATCAACATCATACGCAATTGGGAACCGATGACATGTGTCAACCAAGCCAGCGAGTCTGACCACCCGATCCCGTTAGTCGTCTCTTACGACAAGATTGGGTTACTGAAGGTTCATTCTAACCCGGACCTTCACGGGTTCATGAAAAGAGAGATGAAGATGTGAGTAATAGAAACGAATACCTCTGGGGCTACATCCCCATGAATGTATTTTGGCCAGTGTGATTAGTTTGCAACATAAGCTCTGCCATACTATTGTATTATTATATGAATAACGCTCGCTGCCGTCACAACGCTTGCTAGTCATACTCACTGCCAAAATTCCTCTGTAGATGTTTGCCCAAAACTATTTGTAATTGCTTTTGTTCGGTTGATGTGTACATATCCAATGTTTTCATTTGGATAAAGTGTGCTGTTCATATCCTGTATAGTTGTGTTAGTGGATACCGAACTATTTGGTCTTGCGTCTCCTACAGCAATACATCGTGGTGTGTTCCACGAGTTGCCACAGGTCGTCCAGGGCAGGACGGCGGAGAAGGAGCTGTAGATGTAGTAGAGGGCCCAGGCAAACACCATGCTGTAGTACGGCACGATAATGCAACTGATACACAGTATGCAAAACCCAACACCTTGAAATGAAATAATCATTATAAACTTTTTTGATTGGCATTCTAGAAGTTGAGGAGACGAAGAATGAAGACAATTTTTATGGATACACAACTTCTTTATTCTGTACACTTCTGTATTCTGTGTAGGCTATTCCGAATACACCTATACCGGTGTAGCTTTACCAACTTAATTTTACGAATGAATTATGTATGGCCTTGCGATATGTCATTACCTTTCATGAGAGGACATATCGCCCAAACCTTTATAGGTCCTTTACCAGAAAACTGACCGAGAGCAACTTCCAGGATGAAGAGGGGGATTGCTAACACAGTTGTAGAGATGAAGTACGGTATCAGGAACGCCCCTGTGCAGAAACAGATGGTTAGCGTGTATTCAATAACTGCATGGACCAAGTGTTGATTGAAAAATAAACCTTGGAGAGTGAAAAACGTACCACCGTAACCTCCCAATGTATAGGATAGCTTACATGTTTAGCCTCATAAGCGATTAATTGTTTTATTCAAGTATTTCATAAATTAGGGATAGGTTCCGACCTCGGATCCAATCTCAATTAAAGAGAAATATTTGAGGGCGATAATTTTAATCACTTACTTTTCTGCTTAGGACATGTGACTTCCCACTTGAAACCGTCAATGTGTGATTTTGCATCAAAATGTAAATAATGAATGTAGATTGTATTTAATGAGATCATCCAGTGGATGCCAGCGTTGGCACAAAGCTTGGTTCGAATCCTTCTATTCTATCAGGTTTCCTCTAGCGGAAACCAAGTTATTTTTGCTGTGTAACCGTCCTTGCCATCCATATATCAAATATGCAGACCTCACCAAGAACCAAGTACCAAGTTGTCTGACTCCTCCCCCTTTCCTTGGTGCCTTAGTTTTGGTAACTTTGAATCTGTTGACTGACTTTGGGGGAGTACCCGGGTCGGCTGCCAGGAACACAGCTCTTCTGATACCCTCTAGGTATTGCAGGAGGCTGTTGTAAGCATGGTCTTTACATTCGCGAAAGGCTCTGGGTTGGTTTCACCCAGGCAATGCTTCCAAGGAGATGTACTATTCGCTGTTTGGGATGCATATAGAGAGGGGAATGGGCCCAATCTGATGATGAGCCTACTTGTAACCAACCTGACATTGCCAGGTTCACGCGATCCCTCTTTACGACAACTCGCGTTTTCCTATAAATCTCTACTAATATTTTTACGAATAAAAAGAAAATAATATTTCTAAATACCGGAGACTGTATATTCATGTTTACACTTACAGGGAATTTGACCAGTAATGGTTAAAATTAAAACAATCAGTTAATACTTACCACCTCCATTCTTTTGACAGACGTAGGGGAACCTCCACAGGTTACCCAGTCCTACTGAGAATCCAAGAACAGCAATGATGCCCTGAAACTTGTTGGACCATTGTGGTTTCCTCACATTGGCTTCCTCGTGTGTGATTGAAGTATATACCTGCAACAGTGATTGTCATGTGACTTGCTTTATTGAAACTGAGTAGGTGGACGAGCTGCAACTTTAATGACATTTCCCATAACGCTATACAGAGGAGTGGGGTTTGCAACATGCCCCTTATACAACAGAGTAGCCATATTTAAAACTGAAATTCAAGTCATTTTTGAAAAATGTATTTCCCATGTTTGTTTGATACAAACGATTGACAATTTTGGAGACGAACATTTACTTACCCTCCCATTGCCGGCAAGCTCGGACAAGCAGGTTTCTTTCTCGTCAACCGCCATGGCTCCGTTGATGTATGTATCTGATAATTAATTTATGAACTATGATTTGAATGAATATGAATAATAAGTGCAGGGGATACTTGAAAATGTACTTGATACTTGTTTGTAATTTTCAAAGCAGTTGTGTTTTTTATGTGCTTTTGAAAGAAAAGTGGGGTGGCAATGCATGTAGAAATGATGGATGAGAGGAGCTTATGCATAGTAGGATATTGTTATGTGTTTGTAGAGTGTGTGATGATGGATTCTAAGGTAGGCAGAATTAGTCAAGCTAGTTTGTTAACACTGTCTGTCTGTCTGTCTGTCTGTCTGTCTGTCTGTTGTTTCCAAATTGCATACATCAATGATCATGCTGCTGTTCACTGGAGTGTCTGGTCCAGACTCGAATATTTACCACAGGCATGTAGCAAGCATGTAAGTGAGTGCGACTTTTGAACCTCTATATGCTTTAGTTGTCTTCTTGGATGTGTATAACATATTATCAAACATGTAAAATATTGTCAAGTTGCAAATTAATATTTATACTTGCTTCGCGATGGACTTTCTTGTTTCTGTTATTTACACGTGCATTTCAAATTTTGTGCTTTTGTAAATCACACCATGAAACTATTATGTACATAGTTCTCATGATGATATCCTTGTGCTAATTCCCAAAATATCATTTCCATCACTATAGCTCACTCAATCACTGATGTTCATGCTTTCAAAATGAGAATCTGACTGACTGCAAACATTCTGACTCCGTCACATTTGCAACCACTTGATGCCAGGATTTAGTTTTGTACTTTCATATGACCTGCCATCTACTTCTATCACTACCATTATTATCAGCAATACATTTGTCTATACTATAACTAATCTTACGTTAGTTACACTGTATATAGAAACGACAAAACCATTTCCACATCTGCAGGAATCCCTGAGAGCAGAGTTTGAAACATTCTAAATATTACATGACAATATACTTTATTTTTGAACTACATTGTAATTGCATTACAATGTTTCTATTAAGATTCAGAAAACGTTCATATCACTGTATGTCAAAAATTAACAGTTTTCAGTAAAATTTAGCATGTTCTGTTAGCAGTGGTTTGGGAGTTGGAATACATACACTAATACAACATGCTATGGGATCTTGTGGAAAGTTAATTAGACTATATACGGGGCATGTACATGCCTTGCTCGTCTCACATTACTTCCAGAGCAGAAAAGTCATAATTGTACCCTGGCTATCCAGCCAAGGACTTGGAAGCTCGAGCACAGTTGCTGCCAGGCCGATGCGTATTATCACTGACTTAACTACAATTCCCTCTGCTTCTATGCACTTCGTTGGATTTACTTTGTAGTAATTTGTAATTAATTGTAAAGCTAGAGCTATTTTTTAGAATACACAGAATGTTCTATCAGCCTCTTAATAACCCAATGTGTCTTCAACGTCAACAACCAGCAACGCCCATATACTTTGACGAGCAGAACAAAGCACCATTAACGTTTGGAACGTGTCGTCAGTGTAGGATAACTATCGACGGCTTCAATCGGATTGTTCGACGTACTTAGAATGCGGATGACCTACTGGTAATGACTTAACGCTCCTGATGTACCTAAGAGGTATTATGAATATTTCATGAGGTGTAACAGTTACCAATGAACGGTTACATTGTAGAACACCATGAATCTGTATCAACACGAGTACCCAGTTTTACGGGTGACTGGGTTAAGTATATGGTTAAACATTCAATCATTTGTAGACATGGAGTGAAACCAATAATTTTGACGGTTGGGGGGATGTTTTGTCAGAGACAAATAATGTTTTCATATTCTTCAGGGCGGTATGTAATCTTCGTCTCTGAAAAGATTAATGCCACCTGTACATTTCATGATAAGAAAGTACTGTCATGGTTAAACACAGACGTTATTTAGGTTGAATATATTGTTCACATATTTGTATTGCGATGAACAAAACATCAATTTTCTGATGTGAGGTGAGGTGAATTTGGGTTTTACGTCGTGCTTGAGAATATTTCGCTCATATGACGACGTGCATGCGTGTGTATGTACGGCTGCTTGTACTAGCCCAGACTGAAGCTGGTTTTATAGTGCTAGCTCACTGAGATACCATGCCGCAGTGAAGCATAAATACCCCACTCAGACACAGTATACTGACTCCGAGCCGACCAGTCCGTGTTGTACCCATTAATGCCGAGCGCCAGGCAGGGACCAACAAATACCATATTTTAACGTCTTTTGGTATGACGCGGTCGGGGATCGAACCCGCGACCTTCCGCTCTCCGGGCGGACGCTCTAACCACTACACCACGGAGGCGGTGATTTTCTACAATTCAAGGGAACATAATAAAGAATACGTACATGGGATTTCGGACTGTTTCAAAGATCTAAGAAATGGCTATGGCTAAAATATTGCCGATGTGACGTTAAATAACTCACTCACTCACTCTAAGAAATGAATCATATTTCTCATGTGAAATCCTTATGATTGGTACTGATAATATACGTAATTTCTGTGTCCATATTGGACTTGGAACAGATACTTGTGGACAAAGCTATGCAAAAGTTGATCCATTGCAAATATTATCCAGGTCAATTACGGTTAAAATGACATATTCTATATTATAGAAAAGCCATGCCTGCTTTTCGTTGTGCGTGTGGAAACCTCTCTGTGGTCGTGTGGCCTCAGTGAAAACTGAACATATCACTGAGGTCCTGAATCTATAGTTAATTATAGTAAATTAAGAAACAATAGACAATGTGATAAAACTTTGCAGTTACTTGGATATGGTTAACGCGTTTGAGCTTAATTACAATAAGCATGGTAGCTAATAGGGGTGACTATTGGGGACGGGGGGGGGCAACTATTTCGATAGCGATAGTCTATTGCAACATACTATTGCAATAGCGATAGCCTATTGCGACCAACTATTGCAATAGTTTTAATTTGTCTCCTTGAATTGTCTCATTTGAAGTCATTTCCCAAATGAATGTATGTTTTTTATGCAATAAAACAGGCTGAAATAGCTTCAGTCTCTATTATTAACTGACAAGATACTTGAAATCCAGATCAAGTTTGTTAAAGAGGTAACTGGGCCGATAACTCTAAATCAAAGTGAACGTATCTGGTACTTCCTGTAATTTGCGCTGCGCATTTATCAACAGAAGTCAATTACTAAACAATCGATAGTCAAACATACTATCCAGGCATCGATAGCTTTTCGTTTCCACTATCGATTAATTGCTATCGGAGACTCAACAAGTGCAATCCATCCTAGTAACTAAGCAGGTTTGGTCAAAGTGAGTGAGTGAGTGAGATTAGTTTTACGCCGCACTCAGCAACATTCCAGCTATATGGCGGCGATCTGTAAATACTCGAGTCTGGACCAGACAATCTGGTGATAAAGAGCATGAGCATCGATCTGCGCAATTGGGAACCGATGACATGTGTCAACAAAGTCAGCGAGCCTGACCACCCGTTCCCTTTAGTCGCCTCTAACGACAAGCATGGGTTACAGAAGGCCAATATTCTAAACCGGACCTTCACGGGTGCTTTGGTCAAAGAGTTTGAATTTCAACTTCTGTATTTGTTAAGTACGACGATTCGGACTTAATTCATACCTTTCCGTGGGGTGAACGATAGAGACTGGATATGGACATGTAGAATACTACACGAGTTATCGTTATATATACGACAGGAAGTTAACGAGTTACATAAAATTGGGATCTACCGAGTGTGATATTGTATTGATGGCCCACGTGACCTGTGACAATCCAGGTTAGAACCTATCTTCAGCAACTCATGCTAAGAGGCGACTAACGGGATCACGTCGTCAAACTCGCTGACTTGGTAGACACATGTCATCGTATCCCAGTTGTGTAAGCTATTAAGTCCACGGTCATGCTGCTGCTCACTGGATTGTTTAGTCCAGACTCGAGTATTTACAGACCATAAGCTGGGTTATTGAGTGTGGCGATAAACAACAAACAAACAACATATTGACAACGCTGCATTCGATTACAGTATTTTTCCTTGTATTATTTTCAGTTCAGAGACTCAAAAAAGGACTTCAACATGGCGATTAACCAACCTGCTTACAGGTGATAACTAGCCACATTGGGCTGACCCACATGCCGCGACCATACCGTTAGTCTAGCGTAACATGAAACGATGAACGTTCGCTAACCAGACAATCTGAACAGAATTTGCAACAAGTCCATGAACCAAAAAGTCCATGAACATTTTGCATTATTGTTTGTCTCGAAGGTATAACTAATAATTATAAGAGGCGCTGCTTTGGATAAAGAGGATCGGCAGTTTTTGAGCCGAGTTTGGTACTATTAAAGTACTCTCTCTCTCTCTCTCTCTCTCTCTCTCTCTCTCTCTCTCTCTCTCTCTCTCTCACACACACACACTCTCAACAACGGACGGCGGTTTACTGTGATATACATGTACTCATACATGTATGTCATATTTTCTGTCCGTCACTATGCGAAAATTTAAACTCATTAGTGTAGTAAACAAGCTTTTGCAAATACTCTAATATCAATAAATCATTTTCCTTAATCTTTCAATCATGATTTATATGTGTAATTTTGTCATATACTCTTGACAGTGTACAAAGTTAAAACTATTTATCCGTGGATAACGTTTGGTCTTTTTCAGCATCCCCTATATGAGACCTGTGGTTGCTGGAGCTTTGGATCAAGGTGAGGTGAGGTTTGGAGGCGGTCTTGGGTAACAGCCTTGGGTAAACTGACATTTGGGCCTATTTCTCGATCTGTTCTTAACTTTCGTATCAAAGTATGCGAGTATGGGTATTACGTTAGCGTCAGGCATATTACTTTCCGATAAAATTGAGGGTAATGGTTGTCAGTTTTCCTGTTGTTCATAAAGCTTAACCGCTATCAATAGGATCGCTTCATAGAAATGTAGTCGTATCTTCTACAACCATTATTGCCATTGACTACCACCTCAGTCATCATATAAGGTTTATACGGCGTGACGTTCCTGCAC